TCATCCTGCTCTTACAACCTCCACTGGGACTGGAAAAAACCATGAGGAGAACAACCTTTCAAATGATGTGAAAGACAAATGTTTCTTTCTCACCAAATCTAAAATGCATTACCCGTTAACAGTAACAAACCAAGCAGTTGGAACGGCACAGAGCTGAACCGCTTTTGCGTGCCTGCCCATAAGATGAGGCATGTATTTCATGAAAGCTGGAAAATAAAATTCTGTGAAAATGTGCAGACGTAAGGTCATTAACCTAACAGGAAAGTACAATGTCTTCAGGTGAACATCCCTCCTTTGCCATCCCCAAAGAACACCTGTTTGACTGTCTGTCTACCTGTTTGCCCTTTAGATCTGCCTCCATTATTCAACACTTTGACTATAGGGAGCTAGGGTTGCATTGGTGTGTAAGGGAGGGAGAAGGGGGCACTGTGCCTTGAGAGGAACGCCATAGAGTTGTGACAGGTAGATAACACCTGGATGAATAATTCAAATTGGCGTAAGCTAGCTGAAGCAGTGACAAGACAAGAAAGAAAACACAAGACGTGAATAAATCATCAGTGAAGGGACTAATAAATGAAACACCGGGGAGGGAAAACATCTCTTCCTACCTCCTACTCAAGCTTTAATCATTCCAACAACCTTGTACATGAATATTCCAGATATAACCAGCTACACTAATGTCTTAGGCAGTAAGAGTATGGTGTTTTATTATGCAATATCACCACTAAAATAGTCACCAAAATACAAAACAGTCTGATTCCACAAGGAGTGCTAGTACTGAAACTACTACTTTTAAAAAAAAAGAAAAAGAAAAAAGTCACTGCACAAGCAGTCTATTTAAATAGAGGAAAGAATCATTTCTATAAAACCAGTAATACTGTGATAATAATATTATTTTGATATTTCCCCAGCACATTAAAGTACTTTCTCAGGGATAGGACTGGCTAAACAAACGATCCATACGTGTGAGTTGGTATGACAACTCACACGTATGGAGTATGTAACTGTTTCAGGGGTCAGTGGCTTGAAGCTACCATTTATGGGAATTTGCCTAAGTCAGAATCCAGCTTTCATGTGTTAGCACTGGTGCTTCAGTTGGTCTAAATTAGGGGTGGGTTTTTATAATCGATTCATCGATTAAAATCGATTCTGGCTTGGATAACGTAAAATCGATTCATTAAAATCCTGAATCGATTTTTTTAATATAAATTTATTTTGCCCGAAATGCCAGAATCTCAGGTGACATCTCACAAAATTTCAAGAACAACCAAACAGTTAAGACAGTAAATGAGAGCAGGTACACGGATTTTGCACATAGATTTAAACACACAGCGCGACCCGCGGATCAGAATCAGTTAGATGTCGCCTTTCTCACAGTCGGGGCTGAAAGCCGACAGCTCGCTGATTCTGATCTGTCGGCGGGTCCGCGCTTTGTGTTCACACCCTTTATGCGCTGATTCTAAAGCTGTTAGTTTGATCTCTCTCCAAACAGTATTGACCGAACCAGCAGCAAAAGAAGATCCAAACGCTTCACATAAACATCGTCATGAATTCACTCTGACTTTTACTGTTTTGCTTCCACCGCGATGCACAGCTCTCTCTCTCTCTCTCTCTCTCTCTGTACTTCAAGAACAGTTTCCCTTTCTTCATTATTCGCTTGCTTGTTACGCACAAATCTACTGTTGTTTACAGCGCTGTCGGCTGCTGTTTTTTTCCCTTTTACATTCTTCCGAAAAGAAAACCTCATTTCTGCTGTTCAATACTGAACAAATTTAAACTTTTTAATATTATTCAAAATGCAAAACACTTAACCATGTCTCTAACCGCTGTAACTTCAGAGGTAATGTTCATATGTTGATTAATGGTTTTCTTTCGTTTTTGATGTACTGCAGAATATTTTTATAAAATCCCAGAACAGGAAAATCACCTTCATGTTTTTTCTGTGTTTTATCTTCAGCTACTTTCACACAAAGGCATCTGCTGTGACGCTTACACCTGTGATAAAGTCTTGCGTGTGTCAGCTTCCTTTTTATTGATACAAAAATATGTAAATGTACTGATCAGAATTATAATATTTCTGACTGTCAAAATTTCCCAGATTTGAATCGAATCGAATTAATCGATTCGGGACCTTGTGAATCGGAATTGAATCGATTCTAGAAATCAGTGACGATACCCAGCCCTAGTCTAAATCTCCATGGAAGCAATTTTGCAATAAAGGACATAAAACAACAAATAATGTCCCAAGAGTTTAATCGACTTCCAGGCAAGAGATTGAAGCAACTAACAACAGCTATCCCCGATAAGACATGGTAGTAAATACATTAGAGGGTTACCTAGGCAATGAGTGTCCAGAAAGCCCGCCAGTGACCATGAATGGGTTCCAATGTGGCCGAAGATTCAGATAGTGGGCTCCACCTGGTGCATAAAGCTGTTCATGACCAGGCCGAGGTCAGACTATAGTCAGCCCTCTATTTTCTTTTTATTTTATATTTACTAATTACAGAGATGGGCAGTAACGCTACTGTAATCTGTTTACTTTTTTCAAGTAACGAGTAAAGTAAGGGATTACTATTGCAAAAACGGTAATTAGATTACCGTTACTTTCCCGTAGGAACGCTGCGTTACTGCGTTACTAAAACCGAGATTTTTTTGCGAGAATGTCTCATGACAGTGACGTAAGCGAGTGTGACGTTCATGACAACAGCTGTCTGCAGATCAACAATGGATCATATATCGAGTGCGGGAGAGAGTATGAGCGTGCAGCATTTAAAGCGTGGAAGTACTGACCTTACTTTGAGTTTGGTTCCATAAAGAGTGACAAAAACATTAGTGTCCCTTGTGCGTTGGAAGAAAACTTCTTTTTATACCGAACACATAATTTAATTTTTGCTTGATGCATAAAGTTAAAAGCTTAAAACTGATAAAACAAGTTAAAAAAAAGAGACTTTTCCATTTGATTACATTTTGTATGATGGATTATGCAGAAAAAGTAGAATTGGGCTGAAAGATCTATCGCTTTATCACCTATTCAGGTTGTAAATCGTGTTTTTAAAAAGTAACTAAGTAACTAAGTAATTAATTACTTTTGAAAATAAGTAATCAGTAAAGTAACAGGATTACTTTTTGGGGGAAGTAATCAGTAATTAGTTACCGATTATTTTTTCAAGTAACTTAACCAACACTGACTAATTATTAATTAATTTTTGTTGTTTAACCATTTATAGTTTCTGTTGCTTTTCAGCTAAATTATTCTGTATCTAAAAAAAGACCATTTCTTTTAAGGTTCATTGATTGCACGATGCTTATAAACCCAGAGTAATACTGCTGAAGTATCTTAATTAAGACAATTATTAATTATTACTTTTACCATCCAGCTGAGACAAGAAGGCTGAAGAAAAAGTGAAGTAGAAAGTTTAAAGCAGTGCTGAACACAAACTAATGTACACAACTGTCTAGACGAGTGAACTGAATGGACGAGTGCGGAAAATTTCTAAAAAAAAAAAAAAAAAAAAAAAAGTCAAAGAAAATAAAGAAATATTATGTAATAATAAGTTAAATAATGTATTACACACAAATGCTTAACTGTGTGAAAACATCTGTTTATGAAGGATGTCCCAAGTAAAAGATTAAAAATGGTTCATAATAATTTAGTGATAAAATGTCATATTTCAACTGTGGTAATTTATGTTAAAAAAAAAAAAAAAAAAAAAAAGAGTCATTTAATTAAAAATATATTCTATACAATCAGCATTAGTTTTTCTGTATCTTATTTTGAAGGAGTAATATGTGTTCGCAATGCATTGTGGGAAGCAGAAGCTATAGTCAGTTGGGAAAAAAATACATGGTACAGAAAACCTGGCTGTGTTTAAACTTCATCTCCTGTGGCCTGAATCTTTATATTAGGGCTGCACGATTTTGCATAAAATGAGAATCACGAATTTTTGGCTTAGAATTCAGATCACGATTCTCTCACAATTTTCTTTTCCAGTATAAATATTTATTGCACTTATTAACTGCACGTCAACTTCGTAACAGTTGAAACTGAACATAAAAACAATAAATAAACATAAAAACAATAAATGTCTCACGTTTTGTGGTTGCCGCAAAATGTTGTACTGCTTGAAATTCCGTCTCCACCGTTGCTCGACACTGCGTGTATAGAGCAGGTAGTGCAACAATAGAAAAATAGTTGCAGGACGGCACTGTGTAGCGTTTGTCTAGGGTGTTGATCATTTTCCTAAATCCCTGGTTTTGCACAGTGTTGATGGGAGCCATATCTTTGGTCAGGTGATAAGTAATAGCCTCCGTAATTTCTTTGTGCCTGCGGAAGTTCGACGGGTATAGGGAAGCGCTGTATAAGGTTCCCGTTATTGATGTTTGGGTGGTTGACCAGGACGGATTTTCTCCAGTCACTTTCTCCTCATCCCTGACGTGCTCTCCGTTGTTTTTTCCCTGCTAATTTTAGCAGCCAGCTTCTGTATCACGTGGTATAAGGCTCCGCCCTTGTCATTTATTGAGCAGGAAGAGAGAGCGCTTGTTTTCATGCAGATTACGTCCCGGATCAAAATGCAGTACAATCGTCGTCGTTGTTTTTTTTTGTTTTTGTTTTTTTTTTTTTTTTAATCGTTGTCATTTGGAAATGAGATCGCACATAAGTATGAATCGAGATCGCGATTTTCTAACGATTAATCGTGCAGCCCTACTTTATATACACCATCGAAAGCAATGGCTTTTCACTCAGCACTTTCATCGAGTTATTCAAGCCACAATTGTAAAAGATTGTAAGCCGTCGAGAATATCGTAATAAAGGAGCAAGACGCTCAGTTTCCTGGCTCATGAAAATTGAGTTTGGCTTGCTGTTGACCTGCGTTAACATACACAGTGTATCCAACACGTAGCGATAACAGTGTAAAGGATAACCAAGCCTTCTCAGAATACAATGCACCACCTTGACAGATGGAAATTAAATAAGTGCATTAAAAAGTAGATGGTCTTACCTGTTCTCTGTGATCCAAAAGTAAGAGCAACTCTGTTGAGCAGATCTGGCTTTGCATACTGGTCCTCATCAACCCGCACCCAAAAACAGCCCTCTGACATTTCTTGGGGACGAATCTTAAAATACACAGCCATAATTTAACATCTTTAATAAACCAGTTAGGGCTTGACAGAGAAATATAAAGATTACTTAATTATTTATTAGTCATATTAAAGCCTCGAGATATAGTTTCCCATGAAGACTGACACCAAATGTTATAAATAAATAACAATAAGCACACCACCAGGTATTTGCATTACTTTCCAGATTAATATAAAGTACAGTATTCCCATTACTCAATGAAATAGTTTTCCTCCTTGGAACAATAACAAAGTCAGCAGAACCTACAATACAGACTAAAATAAAGAAAGTCAGACAAGCAGATAGATAAATAGATAGAAGTTGGTAAAACCTCAAGCTTAATTTTAAAAATATATTGAGGAGTCTTTAAATTGAATCCATAGTCTATCAAAGAATATTTTCAAAGTGAATACTTCCTTTAATCACCAAACACTGGTAGCACTGCTGATGTTTTGAAGAATCAACTATCTTTCACTGCATATGTTTGTAGTTATATTAAACTGATCTCGTTGTCACTGTCAGCAACTGGCTTTGAAAGGCAATTAGAGCCAAGATACAAACACTGTTGCGTGACTCAATATGCCGGACCTTACTAAAACACTTGTGAATATTAGATTAAGCAGAGTCCAATGAAACGCAACACTAACGGAAAGCTGACTTCCTCCTGTATCTATTACATGTGTAAATTGCCAGCTGTATTTTTGTATGTCCACCAAAGCCAAACCTTTCAAGTTCTTGTTATATGATGAAGAAATGAAGAATGGTCAAATTAACACCATGAAACTCTGGTGCAGATGTGGATCACCTTGTTTAAAATTGCAAGACAGGGCACTGACCTCAGCAAAGATACCCTTACTAAGTGCCACTCTATTAGGAAAGTGATAAATGAGTGTCACTGCATTAGGACTGCTGTTTGTGGGCAACAGTTGGAAGTTGAACTCTTATTAATGAGAAAGTTTTACAACAGCTTTGTCCCAAACACAGCCATATGCAAGGGTCTTCCACAGCTGCAGGACAGGTTCTCCACATGTCCTACAAGAATGTTCTCTGTAAATTTCAAACATCTGGTTTAATTTGCTGAACATCTGTACTGTTGTAAATCTGACATTAAATTATTAATCAAACCACAAACTAACATCGCTGGTGGTGTGAACTAATATTGCTTTGCGGATAACAACATCTGTATTAGTACCACAGAGGCTGCTCTGACAATAGCATCTGATCATCTGTTATTTTCAATTATTTCTGTCTTGGCACAAAGTGAGAAAGTTGTTGTTTAATTCTCAGAGAAACACCTGTACTTAGCAGGAGCTGCCAATAAACATCAGGAACGAAGTAGAGGGTCTCTACGTGGCCTAAATTTTAGTTTCTTCTTTCAAAGTTTTTGAAATACTTCATTTTTTATAATGTAACATACACTACGGTGCATTGTACCAACTGTAGTATGTTACATCTGTGAGTCTTACCTTGGACCAGTTCAGGCGCTTCATGGAGGTTTCAGGCTTGAATTCTTTCTTTGGCCTGAGGCCATAAGGCAGAGTGTGGTGGGTAGGTGAGCCTAGACCACCCCCAAATCCAAGAGGGGGTGGTGGGGGAGCACCAAATGGAGGAGGCATTCCAGGTGGTGGAGGTGGTGCAGGACAACCAGGTAACGGAGGCGGAGGGGGAGGTGGTGGTGGGACTGGCCCAAGAGATGCTGGAGCAGGAATTGGAACCCCAGATGGGATTGTTGAAGAAGATGATGCCTGTCCAGCATTGGCCGGCCCCACGGGTACAGCTCCAAACTGAAAATTCAAGCAAAATAAAATTCAGCTATAGAAGTAGAAATAAACGCACACACACACATGCACGCACAGAGCTCAGAACTGAGGCAGTTTTGAATTGAACAGTAAACTGTAGCCTGGAATTTAAAAAATTATACTTGAAATACAACATCATCAATTAAATTTCCAAAACAGGCTGAACAAGGCTGATGATACGACATCTCAATCAGCCAGTCCCAGAGTTCATAGTTTAGGGCTCCATGCTATTGCACTTAGCTTCCAACTTGAAATGTATTTTCTGCAGAATGAACGCCTTCGTATTTCATTTATTTATTTATTTTTTAAATATCACGTGGCAGTGAATTCACATGTCAAAGAAAACAAAGAAAAACGACTTATTGGAGAGACCAAAAGCAAAACAAAATGTGCTTATACACCATGTTCTGTATTCTTTCCTGTGTAATACCTCTACCTCTACCTAATACCTATGGATACCAGAGCTGTACTCTTTCAACCATTCAGTAAAGGCCAAATGCTCAGAAAGGGTCCAGATACTGTTAAGATCATACACACAATGATGTTTTTTCAAAAATACAAAAAAACAGAAATGCTATAGCTTTGTAAATTGTATCATATAGAGCAAATGGCTTATTGATCCATGCACCAGTTTTAGATTAAAGACGCCGACTAAAGGTCAGCCCTGGGCTCTTATTCTGCGTCTGCAGGGAAGAACACCTTTGCTGAATTAACAAGCACGAGTGAAAGTCTGTTTGGTGGGAGCGAGACTGATACAGGCATGGTCAAAGACAAAGAGACAAAGTATGTATGCATGCACCTGCACCGGTTAAATGTACCATCACCATTTGAACCAAGGCAGTATTTGAGTATTCATCCTGTGTTTGCTCACTCAAATTGAAAAATTATCATGGAAAAAAAAGGAAGTTCTTTTCCTCTCTCTGAGTGTGTAGTTATCTTGCAGTGCCAGGGTGTAGGAGTAACTCTCTGGAGTGTTGTGGTATGGGAAGGGGGGGCTGAAGGGGTTGTCAGAATAAATTGCTTTTAGAACAATTTCCTCTTATGGGATAGAGATCAGAGAATTAGAAATGGCCAACATGGAGGACTGGTCAGTATTCCTATTAGACTTAGTGTCAGCTAGCCAGTAGAGCAGCCTCTATGTCAAACCAAACGGCAGGCTCCAGTGAATAAAACCCCCACCCCTATGCCGCAACCCTAAATAACAAGAACATCTCACCATTGGAAAGTAAGAAAAGAAAGTTGAATTGCATTTCAATGCAATATTCAAGGGATTTTAATTAGTAATCCAATCCAACATTTTCTTACATCTCACATCCCGTTTCGAATAAAAACAAATGTACAAAAGTACCTGGGACCTGAAGGCCTGTAGCTCTGCTTGGAGTTCAGCTATTTTTTCTTCACACTTGACCAGCTGAGCTTGTGCCTCCTGTCTGCTTAGAAATTCCTCATCAAACTGAAAAAAAGAGCACCAAATATCCAGTTTATTCAACCAAGCACACATAATACTGACTTGGAATATAACTTGAAATTAGCTGATTTCAGCTAATGGTAGAAACAGATACAATTACACTGCTACATTACAATAAAACATTGTTTTAATATATCTCACTTTAAAATGAAGTTTGCGTATTTTAAGGTCAGTCTGGTCATTATTCCACAGCAAGATGTCACGGTTGCTAACTGATGTTTACAAAAACCTATATGGTTGTTATTCCTATGGCCTCATTATATTTAGATTTTTAGAAGAGTTTGTGTTTCATTAGTACCTTATTTTATACAACACAGTTTAAATGTCAGCATGCTATATTTTTGCTTCCTTTTGTCATTACTTGCCTTCTGTGCCAGTTCCGAAGCTTGTTGTTCATATTCATCTATTCGAGATTTATCCACGCACACCTCTGAAAAACAAAAAACAACTAGTCAGAAATTATCAGTGCTCTACTGAAAAAAATAAAGTAATTAAAAAAAAAAAAAAAAAAAAAGCTATCAAAATTGTGCAACTTGCCTAATAGGTGGCTAAAGTCGACATCGAGGCGCTTGCGGTAACTGAAATCTGGGTCAGTGCCACTACGGTGGAGCACAATTTGAGAAACACATTCCTCAATGATCTTAAAGTACTGTGGCCTGCGAGCGAAGATAAATGAGACAAAAAGTATAGAGAGATAGTTAGAAACATACAACTGTCTTTGAGCCACAGGCACAGGCTTTCAAGCAATTTTAATATTTTATTTAACCAGGCAAACCATTAAAAACAAAATGCTCTTCACAATGGTGGCCTGATAATGGCAAAGAAACCTTAGTGACAAAATTTACACTCGCTTTTCTCTGCTGTAATAAAATTAACAATTTAAGTCACTCCTGGTAGCTGCATTTAAATGACATCAAATACTATGCATGGCTATCCACTGTGTTTACGCTACGTTACCTGCAGATGACATCAGGTTGCTGCAAGGTATTCGCATACAGTTCTACAAACATTACGCAGGATATCATATTACAGGAAATCGTTTCTGTCTTCAGTCTTTTCCAACTTTCCTTATTGTAAAAATGCCTTTTCATCTTTTATTCATGACATGCTTAATGGTCTGAATAATACAATACAATTTATACCATTTATGACTCAAAGTACAGCAGACAAGTTAAATAAAATTGCCATCTCCCTCTGCAAACTTGTGGTGTCAGATGTTCATGTTGTGTGACTTTGCACCACTCACACAACAATTTGCTGGCAAAGACTTCTTTTGATTATCGCAGATGTTCAAAGCTTTAAGGCTAGCGATGCTATTAGTTGGAAATTGATTACAATTTATTAACACAAAATATAATCTCTATTTAATACTGAAATTTTATGCACTGCATTGCTACACACAAGAAACAGTGAGCAAAGACACTCTGTGCTCAAGGCCTAATGCTTTCCGCTTACTGTTGTACTTTAAATAAGGCCTGGGACTGCAAAAACACCTAATTGTATTTGTTAGTTTTAATCTGTTTAGTGTATGCAGGAAGAACATGGCTAGCAAAAAGATACGGGAAATGTGCCCGAAATCTTTTACAGTTACTGTATTATATCAGAGATAGTTTAATATACTAACAGACAGCTCTAAACTAATTAGCATATTACTGAGTTGTTTTTTCTTGTTGTTTTTCAAGTAATAGGTAAAATTTGAAAACAACTCACAAGAAAAAAAAAAAATCACAACATGGTACACTTTACATGCACAAGCATATAATTACTGCAATTAACACTAATTAATGGAAATTATACATTTTTCATCTTTGAGGGGGAAAAAATATGCACACAGATACCTTAATGCAGAGAATAACTACATAATTCCCAGTTTGGCCTCTTTTGATTTTTATTTAATAATTAAACTAATAGTGGTGTATCAGATGTCTCGCACTATATCAAATATTGAAAACCTATGCCAACAGGAAATGGAAGTACTGTAAGGAAAGAAAATTTATCACAATTTTATTTATTTAAAGTTCTGCCCCTCACTTTGCTTTTAGGAGGGTGGTAATGTGTTTGCTTACATACATGTGTCCATATATACCACAAATTTGGTATTCACTGAAGCAATATTTAAGCTTTTTGTAGGACAGGGAATCAACTGTGTTGATTGTGGAGACAGTAAATTACTAAAGTGAGGTAGATGCTAATGTTACACAGGTCCCTGTTACAAGACCCTTTGGGTTCCTTCAAACCTAGCGCCTTAATAAAAGCACTGTTTTGATGATAATATCAGCAAACGCTGAGTAATTGCATTTAAACTGTTTCATATGGCTCTGCTGGACACACTGATCACAAAATAACCAGGGCCAAGCCTCAATAAGCAGAAGGAAATAATATAATAACAACAGATGACATGCAACGCTGGGAGGCACAGTGCTATTGTGAGTTAAAGATAAAGTGAATGTTTGATCTGTTCATTATCTTACAATGATCCCGCTGAGAGTCCTAATCCCTTCCACACCAAATCATTAACTAATACTTTGATACTTACAAACAGTGATTAATCAGGGATATTGGTTTCCACCTCTTCCTAAAACAATGCAGAGACTGCATCTCATAATACCATGCATATGATTCGAAACATTAGCTACACAATGGAATCACTGAATCAAAAACATTAACAAAAAGAATTCCAATAACTAAAACCAGTGCAGTTCATCAGAGGGACCACATTCAGACAATGCCTAATCTGCCACTAAGGACAATCAACAATGCAAGACAAATTTCTTAAGCAAACCCAGTACACATATTTAACAGAAATACTATAAGCTAATGGAGCCTTAATCACTAAACTACAGGGAGAAATATGTTCATTCCATTAAGCTACTATTTTTAAACAGTCCTCACAATACTGATGTTAAATTATAAGATGAATTAGAGTGAATTCATGTTCTAGATAAAAACAAAATCAAAGGATAATGTATTATTTTTTTATGGTCAATTTTTAGTACTTTTTCCTGATGAATAATTTAAAACATAAGTCAATTATTATAACTGCTAGTTGTTATTAGAGATGGACCGATACGTATCGTTCCGATACTGACCTAAATTACTGGATCGGATATCGGAGAGAAATAAAAAATGTAATCCGATCCGAAGTATCACAAAATCACCTCACAAAACGCGCTGATTGGCGTAACCCAGCTCAGCGCATTGGAGCAGTATGTGTCACGTGATAGAGCGGCTGTTGTCTGCGAGACCTGTCGGCGGTCTGGTGGAGCCTTTGGAGCCTCGCTATGCTTCCAAACAGTGTCATTTCATCTCAGAGAAAACTATCCCAGAGGAGTAAAGCAAGTGTGTAAGTGCATGTCTGAATGTTTGCATAGTATTTCCACGTTAAGCTTAACAACTGATATATGGAGCCACAGCTGGACTGGTCGTCGGAGTTCCATATTGATGTGAAAAGGAATAGACTTGTTACCTTACTTCAGTTAGAATAAAAAAAAACAAAAAACAAACAAAAACAAAAATACAAAGCTGGAGTTATTCTGTCTTTGCTACAAAGCTGACTCTTCTCTCATTCTCTCCCCTCCCTCCCCCTTTGCTACTTCAATCATGAAACTGATCAATGACCAGCTGATCGTTTTTTCTGCCGCAAGTCCCGTCTTTCTTGTTTGTTTATCGCCCACTTTGCGCCAGAAAGAGGAGACCAGCAGATAAACAACAGCAGCACGTTTAAGCTTGATAAGCTGTTGTTAGAATTGATTTAATATTAATTTTTAGTTTCAGCTGATGTTTGCTGGAGCCACGACTGTAAAAGCTGCTGGTCATGATATCCGTTTGGATATGTGGTAAGAGGGAAACATGAAAATGAATCCAGGAGATGTCCTTACTGAATCATCAGAGCTGAATAATGATGGAGAAACAGGATTACATTTTAAGTGACATGAATGAGTTGAAGAGAAGTTATGAACTGTTTCTGAGAGACAAATAACACCAGGATCCTTTTTTTTTTACGTAGCTGACGGCTGGTAATTGTGCAGGGGCGGGTCTAGCAAAGTTTTGCCAGGGGGCCAGGTAGGACATTAGCAGGGAAAAGGGGGGCACAAAAAATACTTTTCTTTGATATTTCATTTAAAATGACTAACTTGTTGATTGCGTCGATTAAGCATCACGAGGCGGGGGTGGTTCCCTTTTTTTTTTTTTTTGTGGGAGTTGGCAATCCTATTAGTTAGGTTGTTTAATATTTCTGCTAGGTACACTTTAAAATACCAGAATAGGGAGGATGGTGTAGGTTTAAGTTTGTTAGATTGATCAGTGTAGCTGAACTATAAAATATTTTGGGTGCAGTGTATTTTTTGCATACAGGTATAACAGAATAGCTTTACTGTTTTGTTTTTTAAAAATTGAGCATGAATTATACAAATTGCAGCAAGATATTTATAAAAAAAACCAGTTTTATTGATTTAAAAAAAAACACACTATATCGGATTCATATCGGTATCGGCAGATATCCAAATTTATGATATCAGTATCGGACATAAAAAAGTGGTATCGTGCTATCTCTAGTTGTTATGTGTAATGTTCTGCCTTTATATTAAATTAGAGAATAGAAGCTGAAGTTGCATATCTCAGACTACCACTAGAAGGACCCCACGCACCACCAGTGGTACGCATACCACAGTTTGAGAATGACTGTTCTTGATAAGATAGCTGATCTCACGGTATAGCTGACATCAATTGGATATCTTTTCTTATTGTAATCACTGAAAATTTAAGTAAACAGAGCCTGTCCTGGATGTATCATGGCTGAACAGTTTAAATTAAACTCAAATTAAACTCTAGAGTTTAACCCCTTCAAAAACAAATAAAAACAAAATAAGAAATCAGAGCTAGCATTTTCAAATCATCTAAATCTCATAGGTTTGGGGTTTTTTTTGTTTTTTTTTTTATAATGCAAATACAGTATGTCCCATATTATTATTATTTGTCTGAAAAAATCCTTTAAAAAAAAAAAAACAACAACAACAACAACACAAAAAAAGTTGGGCCTGGGAAAGTTGCCTAGTTTAAAAACCCATGCTAACATACCTGGCTAAACATTTCCCAGCTCATTAGATTCAGTGGGGATAAAAACATCCTACAGAAACGCAGCTTTTCAAAAGCAGGGATGGGCAAGAGTTCAACACTCAGTGAAAGACTGTGCGGGCAGCTAGTTAAACAACAGAACAGTACTTCTCAAACTATCAATTGAAAGACATTGGGGGCCTCATTCTCTCAGTTCCAGTTTGTGATGCACTGTCTATGTACAACTCTAAATGTTATATATAGTGATTTACAAATCATTGATTTTAGGTTTTCTCCTCTCTTCTTACCATTTTTTTAAGATGGCTTCAAAAATTGTGTACTCTAGACAGTTACATCCCTGCAACAGGGAGCAACAGTGTATGTTTTTAAATGTATGAAATATTTGTGAATGGTTAATGATGTTTAGCAAAGTGAGGGCAGTCACAGAAGCACCAGTGCTTAAATAAAAAAAATGTATATATTAAAAATAATAATAATCAGACAGCTAGAGAAGAGCACCAAAAAGGTGTTGTTTTTTGGCAGGTGATGCATTTTGTATTCTTCAGACTAAAGCTCCATCTTTTGATCAAGCCAAGTCACACCCAACAGCAAGAGAACCAACATAAAATAAGCCTTTGAAAAGCACCATTAATAGGAGATGAGAAATGCTCTGTAGCAATGGCTTCTGTAGAAGGCTTAGAGATGAAAGAGAAAGCATTCTCTTTGTTAACCAATGTCATTGAGAGGGTTTAAGGTGGCAAGAGCTAGACCTCCACAAAGCATAAGCTCTTCAACAGTGTACATCATTAACAATGTTCAAAACTGCTTAGACCCTGAGATGTGTGTGCATTTAGGTAAAATGTGACATGAAAATGCAGTCAGAATACAGTATAGAGACTGTAAATTACATTACTATACTCTGCTATTTTTAAGAAAACGAATAAGGCAAACCAATAAACCTGATTAGTGAACAAATACATATGAATAAAAACTACTAAAGGAAAATTATAAGTATACAAGTAAACATGTAGTCTAAATAAGGAAACATTTAGCTGATTCATTTAACTGACAAGTAAAGCATTACTCGATTCATTAAACTGTGTGTGTGTGCGTGTGTTTGTGTTGATTTTTACCTGATCAAGTGGTCATTTCGTATAAGCACGAGGTGCTGCAGTATAGAGAGGAAATATGGCTCTGCACTGCTGTCCTTTACCATGCTCTGCACAATACTGAATATATCACCTGCATCAGTGCAGCGAGTCAAGGATTTGTATTTCAATGTCAACAGTGCAATTTCACGTAAAAAAAAGAAGGTAATGACACAAAAGTAAATGTAAGAAAAATGTGTTTTGACTCTAATTTACACTTTTGTTTGCATAATGTCAGAAATAATTTACCTTAACTGGATCCCATGAATGTCTCATAAGAAAATTAGGCACAATTACAAGACACAAACACTGAATCATAAATCCAAATTGCATGTACCTTTTTATAATAAAGACAAGGATATTCAAGCTCACTCTTAATGTCTTCCAGTCTGTGAGAGAACTCCATCATGTCCTCTTCTTTGTGCTCCTCAAATACCTTGAGCTGAATGTCAAGGGCCTCATTCCTGATGACTAGCAGTTGCTACATAAGGATCAAGGTGCAAAAAGAAGGTGCATAAAGAATTATGCAAAATTAAATAGTGAGGAAAGCTCAAGATCCTTTATTAAACTCAAGTAAAGACGAGGAGCTCATCCTAACTGTGATTATTTACAGGTGTGGGCACCAGCGTTTTACTTTCATTTATTATTTTCTCATTTTGCTGGCAACAACAACACTGCTTACAAAAGTTAAACATGTTAGCTAGATGGTATAAAAGCCAGAAGGAAGATTATTAGCCGAGACACTAGAAACTTTATTGGTTTCTGGCTGTCGCACAGACAGAGGACGTGCAAACTCTCCTCTGTGTTTCATGAATTATTTGCTGGAGTAAAACGACGATATTTCACTGAAGTGGACAACTCATTTTAATATTAATGCAAGGTGAGTCTGAGTTTATATTGTATTCGTCTGTGTGTGTGCGTTTGTGTGTGGTGGTTATGTTTTGCTTACCGGCAATATCTCTTTCAGGCCACAGCGCATAAATTCATTTCTAATGTGCAGCCTGAAGTCCAGCTCATCAGGGGATGTTACTAGTGCATTGATGAGCTGCATGCATGCCACCTGCAACATGGGGGTACACAGAACAAAGAGAGTGTGAGAGAAGGGAAGAGAGCAGAATGAGAGAAAGAACCAAAGAAAGAGATGATGGACTTTTTTCCAGAAGATGATGAAAAGCGTGCTGGCATGCATTCTAAATGAGCCATGTCCCTTGGAAGCAAAGGACCATAACTAATGCATGTCTATTTTCTCCAGTCACCAACTGGGGGTGGGGGCTGATTTTAATATTAATGTAACAACTGCAGCCCCATATACACACATACACACACAACTAACCAACTGTCAATTTAAGGGCAAACTTGCTGTTTTGAAGGCAGTTTTTCACTCCCCTCTGAGTTTGGTTTATTACGCAGGGACAGCTACATTGTGTGACTCTTCAACTACCCAGGCAAAGATAAACAGAAAAATCAATTATTGACCAGTAAGGCAATCCATTCATGTGTGAAAAGACAATATGGCAATGCTAGATATTCAGGTGATGTTTAATTTGATGGCACACTCTCATCTTTGGTACTCCAGTTTACTAATACCTGTCACCAAAGAGCCTCTTTAATATTGTAACGCTACTGATGTTACAAAGTATCACAGCACCTTTGTATTGCCTGCCAATAAGTCACCAACGCCATCACAGGTCCCCACCCACACTCAGTGCCAGATTTGGCTTTGTGGATTTTAGTAAAGTTCAAGCTGAAGGGTCATCTTTTGACATAGCACAAGCTGCATATGGTACTTACAGAATGCTATTTCCAAGGAGCATAACAAATACAGCAGGAGCTCCGGAAAAAGTGTATCACTGCACAAAGCGATGAAGGGCCTAGTGGTTAAAATTAAATCATGTAGTTTTTACTCTAAATGGGAAGTCATGGAACTCTTATCACACCTTCAGCTTTATATTTGAGATAACAAATAAGACAAATATGAAGACATTGAGATAGGAGTATTAAGAGACAATACTGGTATCCTCAATTTTAGTATTTATGGTTTAAAAAACGTTCCCTAGGCTGACACTATGAATAAAAGTACCGAAATAGAACAGAAAGCCTGTAGCCACACATTTCAATGCTTAGGATAAAAGTGTCTATGCTTTAATAATGCATGGGGTTAAAGGGGATTTGTGCTGTCTATTAGACAGTCGAGGTAATAACAAAGCATCAATAAAACACAACAAAGTACAAAGGGCAATGTTTGTTTGGCCACAGATGAGTTCTGTGTATTTAATATCCTTGTGTAAAGTAAATTCTACCTTCTAGTGCACTGGAAAAAAATCCTGGTTGTTATTTTTCCCCACTTCCTTTCTATAAATACCTCATTTTAAATTCCAGTGTCTCCCCTTCCCTCACCAACTATTGATTTTTTTTTCTTTCGGTGAGAACTGGTCAAAGATAATTATACAGTAAACTGAATGTGAATGCTATTTGGTACCTATCACAAGGTACTACAAACAAAAACCAAATTCTTATTCCAATAATATGGAAAAGATGATTTAAGCTTCATTATGTGTGCCTCAATTATTGCTCATGTTATGGGGAGCTCTGTTTAACAGTCACACTATATAAATGTTTTAAAGGGACAAGAAGTTTCCATAATTTATATGATTACATTTTAACATGCAAACCTGCACTGTTTGAAACAGTATATATGCAATGTTTAAGTGTGCTTGGAGAGTAAAGATCCAAACAATTTTATCTAAATGGAGAATGTGTAGAGGGAATACACACAAGAATAAAATGGCCCGTTTTTTATGTTCGTCTTTTTGTTTAAGGCAGAACATGAAAAGGGACTTGTATATTGATTAAATGAGCATGTTCTTCTACTGCTTGCTTTTATGTTTCTTGTTAACTTGTTAACTGGTATAGGGACTGTTCCTTACTTAGTCTGCCCAGCTGTCTGTAGATTTTAAGCTGATATTTATTCAAAACAAATGGTGCAGATGAATTTGTGGGTCGAATTTTAATTTCTGACATGTCTGGTCTGAAAGCGATCATTAAAAAGTGACATCTGTACTTAACTGAAGCATCTGGCACCAGTGTTGGTCAAGTTACTTGAAAAAAAAGTAATCAGTAACTAATTACTGATTACTTCCCCCAAAAAGTAATCCCGTTACTTTACTGATTACTTATTTTCAAAAGTAATTACTTAGTTACTTAGTTACTTTTTAAAAACACGATTTACAACCTGAAGAGGTGATAAAGCGATAGATCTTTCAGCCCAATTCTACTTTTTCTACATAATCCATCATACAAAATGTAATCAAATGGAAAAGTCTCTTTTTTTAACTTGTTTTATCAGTTTTAATCTTTTAACTTTATGCATGAAGCAAAAATTTAATTATATGCACCATTCTCTGACTTGAATAAATTAGTTTAACATTTAAACCTATTTTCTACACATTCCAGCACATAAAATAAAATATTTTTTGTGTTTACACTCACTCTTTCAAATAGATGCAAGTAAAACACAGCAGAAAATAAATAAAGTCAAAGACTCAGCGGTCCTGTTGCTCTATTTTCACCTGTAAAGCAGGACTGCGGTAGGCGGAGGGTTACCCTGGTGCAGGTGTGCCGCGGTCAGTTGAAGAATCCGCGAGTTTCTCTGTGAGTTTCCCATTACGACGTAGCTACTCGGAAGTTTAGGGGGGGTTTTTTCGCTGTAAAAAGAAGTTTTCTTCCCACGCACGATGGACGCTAATGTTTTTGTCACTTTTTATGGAATCAAACTCAAAGTAAGGTCAGTGCTCCCACGCTTTAAACTCTGCACGCTCATACTCTCTCCCACAATCGATATGTGATCCATTGTTGATCTGCACACAGCTGTTGTCACTAACGGCGCACTCGCTTACGTCACTGTCGCGAGACATTCTCGCAAAAAGATCACGGTTTTAGTAACGCAGTAACGCAGCGTTCATACGGGAAAGTAACTGTAATCTAATTACCGTTTTTGCAATAGTAATCCCTTACTTTACTCGTTACTTGAAAAAAGTAATCAGATTACAGTAACGCGTTACTGCCCATCTCTGTCTGGCACTGACGAGTTCATGAAAAACAGAATGAACAGACCTTTTTTTTTTTTAATTCTCATGTTGCACTTGCAAGTGGTGTTTTCTGTATTATTGCTGCTCAACATGTAGGTCTATTTGCCTCGAAAAACTAATTATATAGCATGAGATGTTTGTTTAACGATGGTGTTCACATCAAAATTGAAAATAAACAAAGTTGCTCACTTTTTTCATGCTGAAAAAACAGAACCTTCAAAAAATTTGAGAGGGCTTTATGTAGCATTGGTGTTTATTTACTGTAACTGATTCACCAAGATTTAATTCAACTCATCTTCATCTATAGAGCACCAAATTACAACAACAAACACATTGTTAATGCAAATGAACAATGACACTGTCTTTAATTGCAGCATGCCACTTGAGACATTTCACCCACATGAATATAGCAGCCATATTTTCCCCATAACAATTAATCAATTCTAAATAACATTAAAATACAAGCATTTTGCATATACTAAAAGATGAGAAATGTCTAGCTGCCTTTTTAGGCGTCACTGCGACTTGATCTGTGATTTGCAATTGGTTGACTGAAAATTAGTTGCAAATAAAAAATATGACAAAACAACAAAACAGGAATTTTATCAAACCTCACAGTGAATGTTTAAGTAACTGAGGGACCTTTGACTGGCTGTGATCTGTTGACATTGTCACGTTTTCACAGTTACTGTGTATGTAATATCAGTAAAATCTGCGGAAAACAAGGTGTCAGATGGTGGAAAAGTATTTTGCACTTACTTGTAATTGAACTGAGCGATCGCGTAGTCCTTGCACAATGGGACTGAACCTCTCAATGCCTCGCCATTCCCCCGCTGTGGTGATGGCTTCAAGGACCTTCTCCAAACTAAATGAGAACATAAAATGCATGACTGAACAGTTTGAGAGAGAAAAAAATGAAGCAATGCATTCATTTTTAGGGATTTAACCATACGCTCTTTCCTATATTGTATCCAAGGTTCCTTGGAGTGCGCGAGTGACTGAATTATAAGGTAAATTACAGTGCAGTCTTTCTCTTACTGCTCTGTTAAGTTTCGGCCTTTTTATGACATTTTAGCACCATTTATTACTGTGTGCCAGTATGATTTAAACTGATAATAAAGACATGATAGTTATCCACTTTACTATTTAAGTACAGCCTAATCTAATGGAAAAACATTGTGCTTTAACATTAGAAAAAGTCAGTCAGATAGAAATGTTGAGAGAATCAATGACATACATGTTCTCTTCTCCTACAATGCAGATGGCTGACAACAGCTTTACCACATCGGTCATCATTGCAGACTGGTTGGGATCAATGGCTCTTGCCAGTAAAGCAAGACTTTTCTCCTCCCCCAGAATTCGATCCAAGCCATACTGTAATGGAATCAAAACATTATTACCCAGACATGCTGCAATTTGCCCCATTTTTGTCAACAAAAATACAAATCCACATTAAACAACATAACCAAAGTTAAGCTCATCATATATTTTCGTGTACTTCAAATGTATCTAAATGATCAAATATTTGACTGAATAATGTGTCCTTTTTTTTCCTTTATAAAAAAAAACAAACCCCAGAAAACTATGTCCTACATGTCAAAATTGATATCTAATTGCATCCACAAACACACATAAACTTAAAGTGACTTTGTAACACAATCTCTCCAATAAATCTACAATTTACCGGGGAGAAAGGTTTTCTTATTATATTTATTTTGTCAAAGGGCAATTTCACAGTGTGGTAACTTTTAGTATTACATTATTATGCCACTGGTGACAGAAGACAGAAAAATCAGACAAAGGCAGAAGAAGAAAAGGCTGTAGCGACAGCTGGCAGAGAACACCTGTCTTCTTGGCATTGTGGTTACCCCACATCCCAAGACACCTCTTTAGCCGCAGAAAGGTCTGGGCTAACACAGAGGCCTATGGGTTTTTGTTGGCGCCTGGCACTTATTGAGAAGCAGGATTATATCAGACCTTGCAGCACATTTTACACTGCATATCTTTCTCCATAGGGTTTTAGCTCTACATGGAAAGTTGCTGGGAGGGTTCTTATCCTCTCTGCAGCTACTGATAAACTATTAAGAAAAACAGCTGAAGCATTATGAATTATTAGTACTTGAGAAGTAAACATTTTAAATAGCTTTGGCCTGGGACATACAGGGTGGGCCATTTATATGGATACACCGTAATAAAATGGGAATGGTTGGTGATATTACAGTCCTGTTTGTGGCATATTAGTATTTATGAGGGTAAACTCCTCAAGATGGGTGGTGACCATGGTGGCCATTTAGAAGTCGGCCATCTTGGATACAACTTTTGTTTTTTCAATAGGAAGAGGGCCATGTGACACATCAAACTTATTGGTAATGTCACAAGAAAAACAATGGTGTGCTTGGTTTCAACGTAACTTTATTCTTTAGGGGTAGAGCTGAGGTAAAAATTGAGGTAAAGATCTAAGATGGGTGTGGCTGACTCATGAGTGCAGAGCAAAGAGCTCCAAAAGTAGCAAAGTTAGACAGCCAATGACCTCTTCCAATTTTACACCCCTGTCAGTCTTTTGTATTTTTAAGCATTTTTAAGTTCATATAAACTATTTTTGTGATATGAACATTACAGCTTAAAAGGCCATGTTTCAAAAACTATAGTGTCAGTGTAGAATCATAATATATGAATTAGATTAATTTAAAGAAACCTGATCTACAAAAACAGACTTTTTATACCCAGCAAATATCCATCAAACAAAATAAGTGAAATAATAAAATGAAATAAAATAAGCTATTGTCAATACCTTGTTGTTCATGAAGGCTTTGAGACACTGGATAACTTTATGTTGGTTCTTTTTGTCAATTTTCTCTTGGCTATTGAAACAAGACAGCAATAGGTTATTGTTTGCTATTAAACACTTAAAAGAATTAAATAATTATTGAGACCGGAAAGAGTTTGAACATGAATGCATAAACTTACTGTTTCTTGAATAGCAACCTCTCCAAAATGTCTAGCAGCAGTCCAAGACCTTCATGCCCAAAGTTTTGCACCCAGCTGAAATAACAAACATGAAATCGATATCACAATAGTCCCAGACTGACAACTGACAACAATTTCATTCTCATCCACCAGGCAGAAAAACAGAACTCAGTACTTTGTGTTGAAGAGAAAGGCAGTAGAGGTAAACAAGATACTGTAAAAAATAATTAAATAAAAAGGTTGCACATGCATACACTGTTATCCTCTGCTGTGTCTGAAATGCATGAACACAGTAAAAGCTATAAACACAAAATTAAGGGAAAGCCTGGCCCATTGAAACCCACAGAGTGGATCCAGTGACTTTTATACATTCGGCTAGAAGTGAGTAAAGGCAGACAGTGTGATTGATTGTCCCACCATTGTCCAACGTTCATGTGTGAAAATGTTTTCTACCCAAACAGGAGATTTAGGACTGACATGTCACACAGTGCTTTCTCCAATCATGAGAAAAAACACCAAATGAGAGAAAATCTTCTTCTCTCTCTTCAGCAGATTTTCAGAATCAATACCACAGCAGACTTTAGCATCTCCGATGGAGGAAAACTTTACTGAGAAACTTTTTTCCATGCCCCCTTCCCCACTTTTCTTCATTTCCATGTCAGCCTTCTGTATAAGAGTGCATGTATCTTATTAGGCACATATATGATTAGCAATTAAATCTGGTCTGCACCGGAAATACTAATCAGTTAATCATTAAATTCATTCAATTTCATTAATGCGCAATACCCAAATGCCTTGGTCTTATGTAGACTGTGGCAGAAGAGTATAACATAACTCTACTGGAACAATAATGTGGATCTGACCCTATAAAGACAAAAGGCAGATGGTAACACTGCTAACACAAATGCACATGACACAAGAACGTGACTGTAAAACCAGCAAAGACAATGAAGAAACTGTTCATTATTTTAGGTTCTATATTGATTGCTGTCTAAGCGCTTTCTTCCTTTAACACCCGTATTGGATTTATTTTCTCCAATTTAGCCGACTATCAAATTAATGCAAAGAAAACTTCACGGAATAAAAACATTTTCTTGCTGCTCTTTATGTGAAAGCTGATTTTAGACACATCTTATGGAGAACGTACCTTTGATCCAATAGAATGCTGCCTGTGATTACAGAGTAATATTGAAAGCTTAGGACCAACGTATAATATAGATTTATTTTCCTTCTAAAGGGCAAATTCTTTCCAACCACTGAACTCAAGGAGCTATTCTTTAAAAAAAAGTGTGATGAAGAGTGACTCTACAAAGAGATTCACATGAATGAACATATTCTACCTTTATTCTACAACAGAGCTGTTTGGAATCAGATATCAGTAATAGTTTTGTTTCATATAAATAAGACAGAACAGTGTTATTAAGAAGTATTATGTTGCTTAATGTGGTGTTTACCTGGTTAACAGCATGAGAGAGAGGCGGATGTAACACTGGGGGTACCAGGAGGTGAGAAAGTGAAGGTAGATGAGTTTAAATACCTGAGGTCAACCATCCAAAGCAAAGAGATAAAGGAGAAGTGAAGAGTCAGGGCTGTCTTTGTGACAGAAGGAAGGCAGCAAGAGTAAAAGGGAAGGTTTACAAGATGGTAGTGGCCTGCTATGACGTATGGCTTGGAGACGGTGGCCATAACAAAAAGGGAGGAGGCCAAAGTGGAGGTGACAGAGCTGACCAGTGACCAGGATTGATATGATTAGAAATGAGTACATGAGAGAGGCAAGGCTGAGCTGGTTTGGGCATGTGCAAAGTAGGGATAGTTGATAGATTGTACAAAGGATGCTAAATGAGGAGCTGCCAGGCAGGATGAAAGATGAAGACCACAGAAAAGCTTCATGCATGTAGTTAAGGAGGACATGCAGAGGACTGGTGTGACAGAGGAGGACGCTAAGGAGAGGGTGAGATTAAGGCAGATAATCCACTGTTGAGTACCCTAAAGGGTGCGGCTGAAAGAAGATGAAGAATTGTAAAGAGGCTGAATACTGGCCCAGGCTTTTGGTCTCCCCAGATCCAAACACCTTCTGTAGTCTCCTTCTCCACACTCGGGTTACCAGTACTTGCAAACCAAGGTACTCCAGCTTTAAGAATGAATACCATTGAACCAGAGGCATGAGCTAAATTGTAGACTGCCCCTCCCTCTTGTCTGAACCTGAATTCCATCTCTGAACATTAGCATTCACAGTTGTTGCTCTAATCACCACACTCTGTGCCTTCCAGCATCATATGTACATAAATTCTCAAGGTGGCAGGATAAAACGGGAAGCTGTTATCTAAATGCTTTATCTTGAAAAGAAGCAGGTTGTGTGTATGATTACATTTTTCTTCCATCTACTATTGTGTCTCTGAAGAACACTGATAAATGGCATTTTGTAATAAATAACCAATTTTAATGTTAATCCAAACAGATGGGAGATTAGTTATTGTTTTTCATTTGTTTGTTTTGATTTATTCAATGTAATCTACACCTGTCACAAAAATATGACAGGTAAACCCCATTCCAGTTTCTACATTAATAACTGAGCTTATAACAAACACCTTAGCTAAATCTATTAACAGGAAGCCCATCTGTTTGGGCGGTTTTGGGTTGTTGTTGTTTTTTTTACAATTCCTCAAAATATGGAGGCACAAATGCATCAAAAGAAGCAGAATCCTCTTCTAATTGTTTGCACAATACTATGGCTACATCACAATGAATAGCCTGACAGGAGAAAGAAAAGGGGGGGGGGGGGGGGGGGGACCAGCTGTCTGATTCCCAGCATGACTTCTGCAGTGTTTTAAAAAAGGTAAACAAAAACAAAATAATAGGGGCTTTTAATTCCCAACTTCATGCCATATACAGACATTTTCTGCATACATCTCCACTTGTATATATTATATATAGAGTGAGTGCACTAAAACATAGCCTTGTACCATCATTTACTACTATGAGAGCGTGTCAGGGTTAGATGGAAAGAGGCTGACAAAAACAGTGATGGCTTTACAGATGTAGATTTAAAAAAAAAAAAAGACTGCTGCCAAGGTAGATCAGAAAAAATGCTCTCAAGTTTCAGAGAGGAAAAAAAGACTTATATTCTACATTGGTCCCTACCCAGTCAGTACTGTAGGATTTTGGTTATAGAGGTCTTAATAAGAGCTTTATTGAAATTCATAGCCCAGTGGCAACTGTATGCAAGTTTTTCATCATCAACAGTTCAGGCAGAGAGCAAAGAAGAACAATCAGATGATCTCAAGCAGGAATTACAGAGGACACCAGGATACCTGCACTGTGAGGCTTTCCTGAAACAAATATGAAAGACACTTGTGGAGACATAAGTGAAAAATGGATACTGGTGGTAAGTCAGCTTTCAAAGGCTGTTTGATGTTTTTAGCTTTTAGACATTCTGAAGATCTCAGAGGCCTGAAAAAGAAAATGGAATAGCTTTCCAAAACGCCTGAAGAAGTCTTATTAAGAGCAAGAACAACCGGGCCGATGCAAAAGTTTATGTATGAGCATGACTGTGTGTCCTAACTGAAGGTCAGGGAAAGTTTGGATACAGCAAATAAAGCTGGACAGACTGCATTTTTTATTAAACATGTCTGTTAAATCATGCATTCACAGATCAAAACTCGTAGTCTTTAAAGTCACATTAAAGGCATGTTAACAGGCGCTCAGTGTTTTGGGTTTTGTTGTTTTATTTTTCAGAGACTGACCCAATCTGTTGTCAGTTTACTCATGGACAAGTTCAGACTTCGCTAACAAGGTCTGGATTTCCTCTTGCTGGTTCAGTTACCATTGTTGCCATCCTCAGTATTATTCAGCAGGTAGCTCACGGAACAATAAAGGTTCGCATCTCGTGGTTACTCCACCATCTCTGACTTTAACTGGCAAAAGTGTTTCTTTTCTGTTCTGGAGATCAGCTACGAGCTACAGGACCACTCAAAAAAAAAGAAAAAAAGGAAAAAAAGAAAAAAAAGGAACGAGCATTTCTTACATCATTTTGTGAATACACTGGCTCCCATGACCTCTTTTCCAACACCACAATCACTTTGCCAGAAATTCAGTCCAATGAGATAGAGATATAGAGAGAGATAGAGAGAGATATAGAGAGATATAGAGAGAGATAGAGAGAGATAGAGAGATAGAGAGATAGAGATAGAAATATATGATATATCTATCTATGTATATGTGTGTGAGTGCACGCATGTTATGTCACAGACAGATTCTTGTTTTGTACTCCACATGCTGTCTGCCTAGACTCTAAAATGATTAAAGTATTTTATATTCTGTTCTGTCTGCTCATCTAGCATTCTCTGGCAGCACTTGGGTTTCATTGGTTCCTAACATCTGGCACCCTCCCACATCCCAAATGAGAAAACTTCAATCACACTCTCTGCCTGAATGTGTTTGGAGAAGTGCTGTGCAAAAATTATCTAAAAAAAGAAAGGAGAAACTTTTTCTTTCTTAGTGAAGACACATACCTGGTAACATTTTATGTTATTAGTCATTCATAATGACACACATGGGGCATAGTTATCTACATCTAAGATATAATGCCACAATATTTCGATACTGTGAAAATACTCATTTGTGTTCCAAAAACACAAATATGTATTGTGGGGATGGGAAGAATACGTTTTCCCTAAGTACAAGGCATGTAGAGCCCAAGTGTTTCAAACATTTTTGGTGGATTTCCAAAGCTCTGGGGTCCGTTCTTCGTACCTCGCTAAGTAAGTTAGCTGGATTTGATTGTTGACGATTTCGCCTGATCTTGGATCGTTCGGTTCTCCGAAGCTCATCCGGGACTTGCTGTCATAGCAACATATCCGTAAGCGTAAACCTGCTCGGGAGCAGGTTTACTTTATGTAAACAAGATTAGCTCGCGGCCACGCAGGTATGTCCGCTTCATTTATACGAAAGCAACAGCGATATTTTACCACTGTTTGTCCATAAATAAATGTTATCAATGTAACTAAAGATAATGCAGTACTTCATCCTTTTATTGATTTCATACAGATACATACAGGTCATTTCCTAAAAAAAGG